AAAGTTTGTTTTCTCTCTCCATCTGCAGCTCAGAGTGACAGAAGCTCCTTCAGTCACAGGATGGACGGGGCTCACCAGGAGAAGATCTTCATCTGTGAACCAGTCAGAGAAAATGAAGCTTCAGTCAGAAATCAGCTGCTGGAGACAATTAGAGAAAAACATGAACACATGATTTTTAACATTGATGTTTTACATTTTATCTTGAGCATCTTTCATCTGAATTGTAAAATTTGTCAAATAAATATTTACATTTCATCAACATTTCTAACAGCAGCTGAAATAACAACAAAGACTTTCTAATATAAGAACCAGATTGAATGCAAAGTAATCATGTTGGATCAGAAACTCTTTGATGGAAGAATGAGGGTTTTAAATAAAAAGTCATTTACATTAAATCTGCAAAATAATAATAAGAAAAAAATAATTGTCCTGTTGCATTCAGTCTAAAATTCCTCTTGTGAATGAAATAACATATTTATGAACTTACCATTTATGCTGAAGTTGACTGCATTGCTGAACTCTCCTGATCCAGACTCACACCAGTACACTGATTTAAAGGGCCAGTCACTGTTAATGGTGCATGAGGATCCAGTCACATTTCCCCAGATGGAACAGTCTGATAGATTGCTTATTTCTCTCAACGTCTTCACTCTCCACTCAGTAGAGTTTCCTCCACAGTTCAAAGTCACAGACTCAGAGGTGAAATGTTGATCTCTGTCAGGACTCACTGAGAGAGACGCTGCTGGATGTGGATCTGGAATACGAGGAAAAACGAGATCAAGAACAAAACTGACAATAAAACCTGGTTTTTGTATTATACAGAATTTATTTCATTATATTTAACATGTACACTACTGTATGTTCAATCATCAAGCAAATCCCTGATTGATAAATATTTCTTTAAACAAGTAATTGTTATCTTCACTGTTTCTCCACCCTGTGCTGTCATTCTTTTGTTTGTAAGTATTAAACTCCTTTTCTCAATCCCAATCTTTTGGGATTGAGAAATGTTTCCCAAACTAGGAATTAGTTTAAATGACAGTGAAGCATATGGTTTATTACATTTAATCACACTAACCTGCCGACCAGACAACTTTGGTTCACTGTAATCAGTGAAATATTCTGGGTTTCCTCTTCCAGCTCTACATGCAAATCCTGCTGTGTGTTTCTGTCCAGTAATGATGAAGGAGTTCTCTACAGTCCCATGATGCTACCAGCTAGCAGCTCATATCTGTAGTTGTTCTTTGATGAATCAGGAACAGCTTGATACCAGTAGAACCTCCATCTTGCAGATGAAGGTTTAACCTCACAGCTCAGAGTCACTGAGGCTCCAGGACTCAACCATGATGGAGACACAGTCAGGACTGGCTTTGGTAGTGCTGACCACAGTTTCTCGAGTCCAAATCCCTTTAAAGCTGTACAAAATATAATAAAACACATATTTCAAAGATTCTAAACACTTACATTTATCAGCACGTGACAGAGGAGTTAAACTGTCGCTAACATCATTAAATTTTAGAGACATTTTCCCAGGACACAAAGAGCCTCTTCTCTCATCACTCCTGCTTTATTTTGGAAACCTATGATCATTTTCACCAGAAATTAAACTGGAATAAAAAATAAATAAATTAAAAAAAGCCATTGTAAGGATGAAAGACTTTCAATCCATGAAACTTAACCGGCAATATGACCAAAAACCAAAAACATTCACGAGAAATTCTATATTTGAAGAAAATGACCAAAAAGATTCAAATCATTCTGACATTAGGAAAATAATATAACTCTGTTGATCATTCCCGAAAAAATGCAACATTTTTTTACTCATTTGATGTCAGTTACTACAATTTTCTTATAATGAAATGTGTAGAACAATCTGTATCATAAATTGACCAACAGGGTAAAAATTAATTGATCAAACTATGTCACTAATATTTTATTTTTAAATACTTTCAATGATCAATATCCTACAGAGAAAAACAAGGATCCAAAGATTTACTTCTAAACATATTTATAAAAGTCGGCACTCATTCTGAAGCTCAGTCCAAAACAGCAGGGGGTAAAATCCTTCAGATTTGAGACCAACTTGTTTTTGTCTCCAAACAGCAAAATCTTGTTTGACACTCAATTCTAGCAGAATACTGTTAGTAACATAAAACATTTCTTATTATAGAAGTAATGACTTGGCTTCCTATACAAGTTAAATATGCTGAAAGTCTAAAATTTTGTTCAGACACATAAAGAAGTTTCTGACCAACTCAAACCAGGAGAAATTAAATACAAGTCAAAAAACCGTCTGCAGCAAAACTAAACAACCAACATCCAACGTTTCACGTCTCTGTTGGCCACGGCGACTAACGTCCAAACATTTAAAGATGATTTTACCGACACGATTCAAACAGAAGATGTGATGTACTTACGCAATACGCCCAGCACACAGAGCAACAGGAGGTCCATGTTTAAATCCAGAAATAAAAATGTTTCTGCTCCTCTGTGCGCACCAGAAATTCAGATGTTGGTCGTAAGAGAAAGGCTGAAACTCGCAGAATGAGTGGAAAATAGTCGAGGGTCGTCACCACAGAGCATCCGTCTTTGTGCTTCCTTCTTTTGAAGAAACTATTAATGTTTCTGACCTACAGTTCCTGTTTTGACAGATAATTTCCTTTCTTTGCCACCACAAAAACAAGCAGCGTATTTAGCAGCCTGCACCCACACTGCATGTTTGTCATCAAAGTGTTGCTAGAAGTTGAGCTGGTGAGATATTGTAAAAAAAACAAACAATTCATGCTTTAAGAAAAATATCATTTGAAAATGGTCTTACATGAGCATCGAAGCTTCCCTGTGGTTTTCTAAATTAGCTTAAATAGTTTGGGGCAAGATTCTAAGCTGGTTCTAATAAAAGTGACTTGTTGTTTGCGCCGTACTTTCCCTGAGACAGAATAGAGACTGACTCATAGTGGACTTCTGAGAACGCTGACGAAATTCACACCTTTTCGCAGCTCTTGGTGAAGGCAGAAACATTTTTTTTCTCTGTTTTTGTCTCGTCCTTTTCTCTATTTTTTGGAGCCTTTATTTTGCACATCTTCCGACCGGTCTCTCAATGCAATTGAGAAGACTGGGCACAGGAAAGCCCAGTTGTCCTGCGGGGACACGTCCAGCAGGATTCACTCTGGATTTATTCATGACAACAGGATTTCTGCTGTTTGGAGTTGCGTTTTTTTTGCAAATCGGCAAATTTGTGATGGACTTGGCCAAACTAGCGAACCCTCGGACTGTTGTGAACCGAGACGCAAGTTGGATGTGAGTCTTGCTGAGAGTCACAGCCCATCTGAGGACTCCAAAACTCGTGTTGGCCTTGGATGGGCTGCATATTTCAGATCTAGTGGAAGACATGTAAACATGACGCTCCTTCCCACCTCACCAGCTCCTCTTGTCATTCATATGAGGTGGAGCTGGGCGCTCACAAGGACAGGCTCTTAGATAACACCATCAGACTATTTCTTGGGACACTGAGCTATGTGGCTGTCATGGCCACATGACAACTACTCCGTGATGTCACTGCCTTTCACTCATGTCTTTGTTTGTTGCAATGTGCCCTAAAGTGTCCATTTTTCTTATGTCATTCCCCATTTTATTCATTACATGTTAGAAACTTTCTATTTAAACCAGCAAAGGAATTAGAACAAACTTAAAAAATACTTTTTACTTGTACTTTTTACATTATTCTAGTTTACTAGTAATTTTAGAAATCGTGGAGTCCTCATCACTTTTAGAGAAAGTACTCACTATTTGGAACGATGTTGTACTGTGTTTAAATGACTTTTTGGATCAGACTCTGATTGTTGCAGCCCAGAAAAGGAATTAGAACAAATTTAGAAACATTTAGTTCTTATTATTACTCAGAAACTGTGCAGTACACATTCCTTGTTGAAATTTAGAAAGTCCAGAGAAAGATTACTGACTTATACTTATCTAGCAACCCAGAACAGGGATTAGAACAAACTCAGAAACCTTTGACTCTTCTTGTTTTTTGTGTACTTTCCCTGAGAAACAATAGATCTTGACTCCTAGTGGATGTTTGAGAACTCTGATAAAATTCAGAGAAACTATTGTTTTCACACGTTTGTATTCAGTGCAAACTTTACAAACTTTATGAGTTTTTAAGATGATTGAGCCAGGACAACTTATATTACTGACATAATGACAGTGCAAATTTTACTATGGAAACATTCTTTGAACACATTTTTATCTTATTAAACTTGATTCCTAAATGAAATATGCATGCTGTCAGTGTTTCTCCAAAAGAAAATGACTTTCTAGGAATTTCTAGTTCCTAGAAAGGCTGTACTCATGTATTGTGTCAGTAGGAAATTCAAGGTGAGTTTGGCTGAGTTGTATGGAAAGCTCAAATGTATTTAATAAAGTGCCAGGATTGTCTCCTTTCTTCTATTCATTTTACCATCAGGAGTGAACTGAATCCTTTTTCATTTACCAGGCAAAAGGGTGAACTAATGTGTTAATTAGTTAATGAAACACAGAAATGCATTAGGTTGAGATGAAGCAATAATAGGGTCTCAGTTGAATTCAGTTTTCTGGAAAGGAGACAACATTTCTAAAACTGTCATAATGAAGTTGTCTTGTGGTTTTTCTCTGCCTGCTCTTTATTTTACGTCACTTTGTGAAGAAGCTTCCTCCATGAGTAGAGCGCACAGAAGTCAGAGTCAGTCAGCAGCTTCAACAGAGGCGCTGTAACACAGACAGCTACAGCAGACTCTTCCTCCCCACCGGAATCAGCAACAACTCTGAAGAACGTTGTATCATAGGTAATGTGAATATGCTAGCTGTGTAGTTAGAAAGACACTAAAAACACAAAGACAGTATTTAGTCAACATTTCTTTATTCGGGTTCTGAGCCCATGGAAGTGAGCAAAGCAAAGCAGGGAGCCTTGTTGTTTTTACTACATTTTTCCATTATTCTTATTATATGTTCTTCTTCCGCCGCGCAACTTATTACAACACACTGCTACTCACAAGCACACATTAAAGCATTTTAAGCTGTAGGTGGCGCTATGGTCAAAAATATACACTTTTTCTCATGAGGCGGAAATAGCATGTCTCATTAACAAGATTGATTTGGGCGAAGTTCCAACAGAACACTGCAAACCAATTTTTGGGTGAATTTTTTATTTTTTCCCAGCCAAGAGCCACGAAGAATGAATTAACCAAAACTAATCTGAGATGAACTCTGAGCCCAATAAAACGTGACATAATAAGCTTGTTGATTCATTCCTCTTGACAAAATCTTCAATCTGAATCTGACCTGGCGCTGACATCAGCATAATCCGATTGTTCTTGACCTGAAACTGCAATTTATTCCTTCAGTTTATTGTTTCAAGTTGCTGTATAATTGCAGATCTTAACAGCATTTATATGATGAGAAATCTTTCTACTGTACCATTTACGTAGTTTCCAGGCCGTCTGATTGTTTCGTAAACTCCGAGGTCTCCTACAAGTCAGTGATAAACACAGAAAAGTTAAAAAAAGTCACATTGTGTCAGTGATGCTGATGGAAAGTTAACTTTAGAACCGCTATCCACATTTTTTCATCTCTAAGTTAAATTCATTTTATCCAAATTATTTTTTCAAATAGATGAATGTTATTAAAAAAAAAGTTTTAACTATTTATATCATCAATCCAATCAATGGAGGGGAAACTTTATTACTGCTGTAGAAACCAAGCTGCACTGTGGTTCAACATGTTGATTGTCGTCAGAACAGCTAAGACTGAAATGTCTTTTAAGTTATATTGAAATTACCAGCTACATATGACTGAAAAATACCAGCTTCAAGTATACTTACATATTTCATGTTAAATAGGTTGAAAGCCAAAAAAATGACATTTTTTGTGTTTTTTGTGTGACTAGGATCAAATACATAAGGCTGGACAGAAGGACATTTAAAGATAATATTCAGGCATCATATCATTCCCTTGTCTACAAAGACAGTCTCATTAGTTAAAATAAAAATAACGTATATATTTTATCTTATTATTTTATTCAATACGTTTTTTGTTATATCATAAAAGTAAATAAAAGTCAAACCAGATACATTTTTTTGAGAATCAAACATTAAGAATAAAAAATCATGAATATAATTTATGTTAAAAATGTGTAGAAACATTGAGAGCAAAGTGAGACACTGACCATGGAGGAGAGCGGAGTACACTGGCTGCTGCTGCTCGTCCTGGTAGACAGTCTCCACTCTTCCAGGACCTTTTCACAAAAGAGACATTTTTATTTTATGTAATGTCCTTCCTAAATAAATTGAAAAACCGTAAAATTTTGACATTCGACATTGGTGGATGGGTTTAAATGTTGCGTTTGTAAATAAAATACTGATCAAATATATAAACTGGGTCAATTAACACAAAATGGTGGAGAAAAGGAAACAGTAATAAATGTTTTTAACAGGAAACTACACTGGATCCTAAACATGTTGCTGAAACACCTTCCTCAAATCCCTCACCTCAATTCTTCTCTCTGACCTGCAGGTGGCAGTAATGATCCTAAAGCACTTTGAAGCACATTTATGGCGGATTATCCAATTACTTCTATTCAACACATGAAATCATATCATGTTGCTGCATTTCCAATACAAATGTGCTCAAAGATTGACAATATGTCAATAATGGAAAAACAAAATGTTGATCAAGACTCGTGATCTGAGAAGAGTTTTGACTGCAGTTTTGTGAAATACACTGATATTAATCATAACAAAAACATCTGATCTGAAAAGTTTTTTATTAAACTTTTGGAAAATTGCTGTTTACATTAATTAGATTAATTTAAGGTGAATGGAAATGCAGCTTTGGACACTAAAGCCAGCTTTAACTCCAACAGACCTGCTTCATGTTTAGAGCTTACATAAGTTGATTGATTCAGTTGTCAAACTAAATATGCTTCAATTGAAAGACATGATAACAACCAAACATTGCTATTTAAAAAAAAAAGTGTTAAATTCAGTAATTATTTTGATCACTTCTCTTGGTTTTTGGTGTTTCAGTTTATGACTCAGTTCTTCATTTGATAAATGAAAGAGTGAAACATACAAATTCACTACTTCAGGTTGTCACCTTTGGTCTGTCTGAACCGACACAGCAGCAACAGGAGAAGGAAGAGAACGACTCCAATCACTGATCCAACGACCAACAGCACAGGAAATGAAGAGCTTCCAGGAGTTAACACAGGTTTAGTAGCTGAAAATGATCAGAGAATACACAAAAACAAGATCACTTTCATATAAATTATTTCTCATTAAGTTATAAAAATATTGTATCTCTGCTCACCTTTAACAGCCATCCAGCTCTGAGGTGAAACGTCTCCTGAATGTTGACACTTGTAGAAACCTTCATCTGACTGAGACACTGCAGAGATCTTCAGCTCTCCTCTGCTGTCATTTTGGATCAGTTTGTCATTATGATAGAAAATCACATTAGAAAGTTTGTTTTCTCCTCTCAGTCTGCAGCTCAGAGTGACAGAAGCTCCTTCAGTCACAGGATGGACAGGGCTCACCAGGAGAAGATCTTCATCTGTAAACCAGTCAGAGAAAATGAAGCTTCAGTCAGAAATCAATTTGTTATTAGATGGTGTTCATGGAGTGGCCCACTCACAGGGTCACTCCATGAACTTCACTAATTTAATTGTGAAAGTTCAGGTTGCAATTCCAAAACTGGTTGGAATTAAAATCCATAGTGATTTCAAAATTTGGCCATAATTTGTGTTGTGATATTTAAATCTCATGGAGACAGGTTCAACATAAATGAGGCAGCAGCTTTTCAAAACAACCTAATTTAATTTCAATCTAAGACAAAAGAGGAAGAAAATGTTTTGTTTTACTTTACTAAATGATAAACTTGTTAAAATAAATGAAAAGTTGACACAACATATGTAGCCGGGGCATACTGTCCTGGAAGTATGTTGCTGCGCACTCTTCCTCTTGCCCATATAAGGAAGACGCAACCAGCTGTGTTGGAGCGCAGCTGGTTTATTAGGGAGACGGGTAATGAGCATTTACATTTAAAAGCAGGTAGTATTAAGATTAGTTTAGAATTTCTTTTCTGGGTAGTTATTACTGATCAAAGCATTTTTTTTTGGGGTTTTTTGTCTAAGGGAGGGGAGTTTTTATTGTCCAGCCCTCTGCCTTGTTTGTGAAACAAAAGGACCTATACCGTTCCTTGGTTCCCAGCTGTTTTATTGACATTGAGGGGAGTTATTCTTTTCTTTGCTTTATTCACCAGCGATTTTTGTAAATAGTGTTGGGGAACACTCAGGTGTATTTAGTTATATTTGTGTTTATTACTCCTCCCCCAAGCAGTCAGACTTTATTCAATAAGATTTTAACTATATTATTTAGCTGTAAGGTTTCCAGGACCAGAATAGACTTCTGGTTTAAGTGTGGTCATTTATGTACAATAAAATATATTGCGTGCTTTTGTAAGCCCAATAAACTGTGTTTAATTTGCAACCAACGTCACACATACATTGAAAAGTGATGTTGACTGCGTTGCTGAACTCTCCTGATTCAGACTCGCACCAGTACACTGATTTATCGGTCGGTTGGCTGGTGAAGGTGCATGAGAATCCTGGTTTTGATAGCCTGGAGCATGTTCCAGGGAATGGTGATAATCTGAATCTTCTAATCATCATCACTCTCCACTCAGTAGAGTTTCCTTCACAGTTCAGTGTCACAGACTCAGAGGTGAAATGTTGATCTCTGTCAGGACTCACTGAGAGAGACGCTGCTGGATGAGGATCTGGAAAACAACATGGAGAAAATAATCAGTGCAAATAGCCACATCTTAATTCAAATGCTGCCCTTATTTGTTCAGATTATCACCTGGTGAGAAGCTATTGCTACATAGCTCTCTAACAAAATAGACCAATATGTCTTTTTTGTTGTTCATGACAGACTGGTATTTTCATTTACTTGTTTTTAAACCCATCAGTATTTTTCAACTGTCAGCAAGACAAACAGCTGTTTGTCTTAAACAAAACATTGATAGATTGTCATTTAAAGTAAAAATAAAAAATGTTTTGGAACTGAGTTATTTTTATGGATTTTCCAGTGACTTTCACACTATTCTCTCCTCAAATGGAGGATCAGTTGCACGTTGGATATCTGGTAGAGAAATAACATTACATGTTAACTGGTGGAGCATAAACAGAACTGACCTGATGACCAGATGAACTTTGGTTCACTGTAAAAACTGAAATACTCTGGGTTTCGTCTTCCAGCTCTACATGCAAATCCTGCTGTGTGTTTCTGTCCAGTAATGATGAAGGAGTTCTCTACAGTCCCATTGATGCTACCAGCTAGCAGCTCATATCTGTAGCTGTTTGATAAACCAGGAACAGCTTGATACCAGTAGAACCTCCATCTTGCAGATGAATGTTTAACCTCACAGCTCAGAGTCACTGAGGCTCCAGGACTCAACCATGAGGGAGATACAGTCAGGATGGGCAATAATACTGTTGGAAAAAGATATAATGATATGTTTTGTTATTTTTTCTTGCATATATACACAGAGGAAAACAAGTATTTGAACACCTGCCAATCAGCAAAAATTCTGGCATTCAGAGGTGACCTCTAAAACATTTCACTCCACTTAATATTCTAAATTCAAAGCGTCTGCTTGAGATCGTTGGCTGCATAAAGACTCGTGTCATCCCCACACAGTCAGTAAGACTCCAACTACTAACATGGCTAAGACCAAAGAGCCGTCCAAAGACACCAAAGACAAAACTGCAGACATCCGCAGGGCTGGGAAGGGCAGCGGGGCAATTTCCAAGCAGTTTGGTGAAAAAAGATCAACTGTTGTAGCAATTAATAGAAAATGGAAGAAGCTCAACATAACTGTCAGTCTCCCTTGGACTGGGGCTCCATGCAAGGCCTCAGCTGCTGGCCTATCAGTGATCCTAAAGAAAGGGAAGGAGGTTGTTCCCCAAAATCTCGCAACACATGGCCCCGGTCATCCTCCATGACGTCTTAGTGTATTACCCACAATAACCTCGGAAGCAGCGGTTCTGGGCTGATTCCTCAACCTGGGTAACAGCACTGAAGCAGGGTTGTGGCTGGGTCTTGACCTTGAAGCACACAGCCAGGATGACCAAATAGTGGCTCCGTAAGAAGCATATCAAGTTTCTGGAGTGGCCTCGCCAGTCTCCAGACCTAAACCTGATCACCTTTGGAGGAGCTCAAACTCTGTGTTTCTCAGCAACAGACCAGAAGCCTGGCTGATCTAGAGATGATCTGTGTGGAGGAATGGGCCAAAATCGCTGCTGCAGTGCAAAAACTACACCTCCTGAGAAAAACTACAGGAAACTGTGGACCTCTTCAATTGCAAACAAAGAATACTGGGCCAAATATAAGCATTGAATTTCACAGGTGTTCATTTGCAGCAGTAACACACAATTCAATTAAGTAAAAAAAAAATTCATCGTGATGTCAGTGTTTTTTTTTGTTTTTTGTTTTTCCATTTTTTTTAGATTATGTCTCTCACAGTGGACATGTACCTAAGATGAAGATGTTTAAGTGCTCATTTTCTTAGAAATTAGATAACACGTATAATGCAAACATGTGACATTGCAAGCGCCTGAACAGCTGCAATGTCTTCAAATTGTACGAAAAAATAGCAACTAAAATAAAGTTGGAAAAGAAAAGACTCAAGATTCTTACAAGAAAAACCTGGGTGCTATCGTTTTAAATGAAAAACATTGAAGGCCATTAAATATCATCAAACTCATTATGTAATTCCTCAACATAAAGCAGAACTCAAAGCAGAAGCTGCAAAACATCAGGAAACTGACATGAACAAAAACTCAGGAGGTCAGACCAACATGAAAATTAACCTACTGATTACAGTGATGTTGACTGCATTGCTGAACTGTCCTGATCCAGACTCACACCAGTACACACTGCTCTGCGGTACTGGGGACTGATGAAGGTACATGAGGATCCAGTCATTGTTCCCCAGATGGCGCAGTCCGATAGATCTGACTGGACGGATGAATCTGTAAGCCTCTTCACTCTCCAGTCAGCAGAGTTTCCTTTACAATTCAGTTGAATTTCATCAATAGTAAAAAGTTGCTCTCTGTCAGGACTCACTGTGTGAGAGACGCTGCTGGGTGAGAATCTGAATCACGAGAAGAAGAAAAAGACCAAAAAAGATAAAGAAAAAGACAACCGACAATAAAATCTGCGTTTTCGTGCTTGACAGGATTTCATCCTGTTTGAGGTTACCTTGTGGATTTCGACAGATGAAATGTACTGTTCAGTTAATCATGAGCGTAATAAACAAAGCATATTCATTAGATGGATAAATCTATATTGTTTCTATATAAAGAAGCAATATAAAGAATCGCTTTTTTTATTTAAAGAAGCAATTCTCTATTTCTGCACCTTTTCCTATCACTATTTGGATTTTATTCATTGAACTTATTTGTCTCAATCGATTTTTTCTTCTTCTTGGGCTTTTAAATTCTTTAAACATAAATTAAAGTGCATTTCAGACAGAATGAGAATTTGTTTAAATGACAGTCAAACGTAGATTATCACATTTAATCACACTGACCTGCAGACCAGATGAACTTTGGTTCACTGTAATCAGTCAAATTCTCTGGGTTTCCTCTTCCAGCTCTACATGCAAATCCTGCTGTGTGTTTCTGTCCAGTAATGATGAAGGAGTTCTCTACAGTCCCACTGATGCTACCAGCTAGCAGCTCATATCTGTAGTTGTTCTTTGCTAAATCAGGAACAGCTTGATACCAGTAGAACCTCCATCCTGCAGATGAAGGTTCAACCTCACAGCTCAGAGTCACTGAGGCTCCAGGACTCAACCATGATGGAGACACAGTCAGGACTGACTTTGATTCTGTTGACCGTAGATTCTCATCTCCAGATGACCTATGAACTGTACAAAATGGCAAGATATAATGAAACACACAGAAATATTGCATGCATTTGCGTGCATTCATCAGCACCTGAAGAAGAAGCTAAACTCTCTCTGACATCTGTAACTTTTAGTGATATTTTTCCAGAACACACAGAGCCTTTGCTCTCTTCACTCCTGCTTCATTTAGGAAATGTTCACCAGAAATTAAACTGGAATAAGACCTTGTAAGCATACTGGATGAAATTGGTTAAATATTTTCATAATCCACAGTGATTTAAAATACCAAACTAACTGTCAAGCACAGAGGCAGCAGCATCACGTTTTGTTTGTTTTACTGCAGGAGAGACTGGTGCACTGCAGAAATAAGATTCCATCACGATAAAAGAGCATTCAGCATAAAATGTCATTTAAATATTTTAATCTGTGACTTTCTTCCCAATTGATAATAACCCGGACAGTCATTTATAAAGTGAATTGCAGCTCAAACTTCCCTTGTTCTCAATGTTTCTGAGACGCGTTGTGTAAAAATGAAAAGGTGGAAGGAAAGGACTACCTGCAGAACCTCACTCGGTTACAGCGAGTGAGTCATGAGGAATGCGCCAAAATACCAGCTGAGATTCCCAGCAGAGTAGAAAACTGAGAACTAAAGCACAAATTGAATTTTTTCTAGGTGTGAAACAGACAAAGTCGCTGTGCAGACGTAAAATGTGTTGCAACCATCTGCCAAACATTCTGCAGAAGTAAGCAAGACTTCTACAAAATGCATTGCATAATGCCTTATGAAACACCGTTCAGAAGGTGTCTCAACCTTATGAAAGGTGTTTCATAATGTCGAAATACATGTTGTTAAATGTATTTCAGATCCAGCAGTGTGGGTGAAACGGAGCCTTTAAGGAATCTGATTGTGTTTCTGCCACAGAGACAAAGACCTGCTGGTCTTTGAATGTTCAGTGATTGACCTGGAATCAGTGGAGGAATAAAACTGCGCTAGAGTAATCAGTTACTATGAGTTAAACACACACACGCACACACACACATGCCCGCACACACACCAACCATGTCAGTTTACGACATTGCAGGGTTGGCTCTCCTCTCTGAGATGATCTGCAATGCACCCCGTCCTCTATGTCCTCAATGAATTATAAAGGTATCTGATAAGGTGCCTTTATCATTCATGTTGCACAATGAAGTTTAATGTGCAAGATGCGAGGAAGCAGAGATTAATTTGGGAGACAAAGTTTCAGAGCTGCACGTTATAGATGAACATTTAGATTACATCTCCTCTGATGAAGATGTCAAAAATATCGTCATCAGTTTGTTCTCATTTCCTCACGTCAACTTGCAGTCAAGTATGACAGAGGAATCAGACTCATTAATTTAAAAAAATCAATTAATTCAAATGATAAGCATTTTATATCTGAACGAAGACTGAGCAATGATTTTCAGACGGTTTTTTGGTTTTATTTTTGGCAAAAGCAAGTGGTGTAAAACCTTCAAAAATCATTTTTTTCAGTCTTCAGAAACATTTATTACTATAGAAGTAATGACCTGGCTTTCTATACATTAAATAAGCTGAACGTCTGGAATTCTGGACAGACACTTATAATAAAGAAGTTTCTGACCAGACCCAAACCGTGAAACACAAATTCTGTGTTAAAACCGTCTGCAGCAAAAACCAAACAACCAACATCCAACGTTTCACGTCTCTGTTGGCCACGGCGACTAACGTCCGAACATTTAAAGATGATTTTACCGACACGATTCAAACAGAAGATGTGATGTACTTACACAATACGCCCAGCACACAGAGCAACAGGAGGTCCATGTTTAAATCCAGAAATAAAAATGCTTCTGCTCCTCTGTGAACACCAGAAATTGAGATGTTGGTGGCAAGAGAAAGGCTGAAACTCGCAGAATGAGTGGAAAATAGAACCACAGAACATCCTCACTTGTGGTTCCGTCTTTTGAGGAACTGTGTTTCTAACATTTCCTGTTTTTGGCCAATACTTTCTTTCCTTTGTCACCACAAACACAACCTGCTTGCGCAGCCTCTGGGCACACAAACTGCATGTTTTTGTTAAAGGGTGTTACAAAAACATAAGTTTGTAAAAAAATATTTTTTGCATTAAGAAAAATATAATTTGTAAAACTGTCTTATATGAGGCATGGGGCTTTACTGTGGTTAAATTAGGCAAACAGTGTGGTTACTTTAAAAAGAGACACTACGGTGTGATTAGCAATTACACAGAAAGATATTAACTTTTGTTTTCAAAGTCTCCATATTTTCAGTTGTCAGACAATAAAATTATGTTATTATTATGTAGTATGTAGTAAACTTTACCATTTAGTATTCCCATT